TCTGTTCCCTTCCCTCCCACTGACCGCTCACCCACGCATGTGTGCCATGTCTGTTGCAGCGGACAAGGCCATCTCCATGCTGCAGGGGCTGTGCTATCGGTCCCTGGGGCCTGGCACCTGTGCCCTGCCGTTGGCCCAGCGGATCACCAAGCAGATTTGCTGCTGCAGCCGTGTGGGCAAAGCATGGGGCAGCAAGTGTGAGAAATGCCCCCTGCCTGGCACAGGTAACCCTCTGCCTGGCACAGGTAACCCTCTGCCTCTATCCCAGCTCTGACCACTAAGGGGCCTCCTCAGAACCAGTGGCCATATTCCCTGGCCTGGGTAGACCTCCCTGAAGCCAGAAAACTCTTGGTCTTCCTTCCCCGTTCATGTGCTTATCCCAATCTGGGGCTCCCTCCCTCCCTGCTGCCACAGTTGTCTCCCAAGGGGAGGGAGAGGAGGCCCTGGCTTCCGGCAGGAGTTGCTCTCTCAGAGTGTCCTCTTGCTGTCGGCTTTGCAGAGGCCTTCAAGGAGATCTGCCCTGCTGGCCATGGCTACACCTACTCGAGCTCAGACATCCGCCTGTCCATGAGGAAAGCTGAGGAGGAGGAGCTGGCCAGACCCTTGAAGGAGCAAGGGCAAAAGACCAGTGGGACGCTGCCTAGGCCAGCAGAGAGACAGCCACTCCGGGCAGCCACGGACACCTGGCTTGAGGCTGGGACCACCCCTGATGAGGGTATCCTAGCTGGGGAGATGCATGAGGGATTCTCTTTCCCCCTAAACTTATAGCACCTTAAAGAGGCACAAGCATTTATCCTGGGTCCCTGAGAGTCCCATCTCTGGATCATAAGGAAAGGGAGATCAGAGCAGCAGCACTCAGCCCTGGGAATCTTCTGTCATGACCTGGCATGGAAGGAAGGCCTAACTCACCTCCTCTCCCACTTGGGGTCAAGATGGGAGCTGCTTGTAGAGGAGGGAGAGGGCAGCAGCAGTGTCCACCCTGCTGATTGGGCCTTTCCATGCTTTGTCCCGGACCACGCAGTTACTGGGACTAGTGCTCTCTGTAGGCCTGAAGAGCTGGCAGGTGGACCTGGGGAGGCTGTATTCTTTAGATCTTAGGCATGGCTCCCCTGCGTGGACCAAGGAGGCCCAGGGCTAGAGAGAGACTGTAGCAGAGACTGAGGCTCTCCGGAAAGGTGCCTTGGAAAACTGTGGCAAAGTCATGACCAGGTAATACTGAGTGCAGGAGCCCCCTGGCATATTAGAGCCAGGAGAACTATGTGATTTCTAAAATTGCTCCAGGAATCTGGAATAGACAGGAAGTGAGGATAGATCTCCAGTTTCATGTGCATTGGACACTGGCCAAGCCAGAAGCATCTTCAACCCTTCCTGGAACTATTCTCATGGCCCAACCCTGGGCAAGAGTCTGAGGGACCAACCCAGTGTGGCTGGGAGGCATTGGGGGAGGTTGGCTGCAGGGTCAACTGGGGAACTAGCCTAAGAGAAGGGGGACTCCAGTCACTGCAGGCCTTAAATGAAAGCAGGGGCTTCTTCTCAGGTCCTCCAGACTGGGATTCTGGGATGATCCTGTAGTGGCCAGTCCCCACCAGGATGGGGGCAGGGGCGGGCACAGAGGCAGGTAGGAACGGTCATGCTCTCACTGCTGCTGACCCTGCTGGGGACACAGTAAGGGTGCAATAGAGGAGAGAAGGCAGCCAGACCCTTCTCCTGGAGCTCACCCTCTCACCTTTCCCTTCCCAGGTGACTCTCAGGCTGGACAGGTAAGTGAGCCTTCCCATTAGGGAGGTGGGTGGCACAGAGTGAGAACTGGTAGCCACCGAGACCTCAGATCAGTGTCCCATGGTGGGGAAAAGGAGAAAGATGGAGAATCTGTCAGGTTGTACATGGAGAGACGACAAAGTGGGAGGGTAGATCCAAAGACTGACTTTCACCCTGAAGGAAGTGATGCAAACAACCGTTTCTAGGGCAGCTTCTGTGCAAGCCGTCTCCTGTTTGGGTTGGGCCCTTTCAGAAAGGAACTAGGAACACATTCCTGTCTTGCTGGTCCTGGCTGCCAGTCAAGCCGTAAGCACTGGAGGTGAGGCAGAGGGTTAGTTCCGGTTCATTCTGGATCTGGCACTTTCTGATTCAGTTTAGCTGAAACCTCGAGGTCCCTCTGTGAGTGGTGTGCGGGGAAGCAGAGGCAGAGCTGTGACTAACCTCAGACCACTTTGCTGAGAAAGGCTCATCCAGCTCCCTTCACTGTGCCCCAAATTCCCCTGTGAAGAATTGGGTGTCCCAGAAAAACATTTCAGAAGCGTGCATCTTCTTTTCACCAGCCTGCTAGTTCCTACCCTGCCCCCTGCCCCTCCTATCCCAGTTATGACTGTCTCCAAATGCCATTTCCCCAGTGGGCTTATTCTCTCTCTGGAGCACTCAGTGCTTCCTCCCAGGCCAAAATGCTAAACCCTTGTCTTTACAGACCCGCCAAACCCAGGGCCTCTCTCCTCTTTACTACCTCCATCCACATGCTATGTTGAGGGACACCAGGTACAGCATGGGTACCGGCTTTGCCACACTGGCCCTATGGCCCTGGCACTCTAATCAACTTCTGGAGCTTTGGCTACTCTGTCTGAGCCATGGGATTGCATCATTGATACCATAAGTGCTGATTTTCTACCATATGCCTAGCCCTGAGCTGGCATAGTGCATGCAGGGGCTTATTTAATCATTTTAGCCTACTATTGTGAGCTAACTGAGAAGGTTAATTAAGACAGTAGATACAAATGCCAGGCATAGAGTAAGGACTCACCAATACTTGGAAATGAATGAAAAAGCCAATGAGTGAGTTGGACAGGAAGCCCAGAGGTGGGGGTGAGTGTGGTTGAAGGAAATACATCATGGGGGTGACAGAGGAGCCAACAGAGACCTCCTGTTTCTGTGCAGGTCACCCCCAGTGTCACCCGTGTACCTGCCTGGGTCCCAGGTGAGTCCCTCCTCCTAGCAGCTCCCAGGGAAAAGAAGAGGGAGGGAGAATGGCCTGAATCCAGTCGTGGTGTTGCTACACATGAGCTGGCCCATGGGCTCAAATCAGAGGAGGTCATGAACAGTATGGCACATGAGCACTAACAAAGAGTTTCCTAGCCACAGAAGTCTTTCTGAATTTTGTGGTACCCCTGACCACATAAAACAGACCAAAGGGGAAGCACTTGCTGAAACTTTCAAGAGACTAGGAAGCACTGGGGGTGACCCAGCCTAGGCTCCACCCCTTGTTCTTGGGAGTCTGAACAGCAGAGGGACAGAAGGGTCACCTCTTCCCCTCTCCCCTCCACAGGGGATGCCGAGGGAAGACCAACGCCACCACTACCTGAACAGGGAACTCCAGGGATCCAGGAAGAAGAGCGAGTGACCCCTTCTACCAATGTGCTGATGACTCTGGGCCCTCCAGGTAGCTGTAGCCAGCCCTTTGGGGCTCTCTGAACTCTACCCTGTGAGGTGTGGCTGCCCAGCCCTGACTCCAGGGCGGGGCATGAGTGACATCCCTCCCCACCTCTTCAACCAGATGCACAGTCTCCAGGTCTGCGGCCCTAGTCTCCTATTATGAAGAGCACCAGGTCCCCCTAGTGAAAACAGGAACCCTGTCTGGAGCACTGCTCAAGCCCGTGTATGGGGAAGAGAAGAAAGCTATGAGGAGGGTCTTACTCAGAGGTCTTGGGGAAGCCAGGGATCTTCCAGGCCAACATGCAAAAGGGAAGGGGGGCTCTGTCCAGGATGGGGAGCACGTGGAATGAGAGCCTCAGAGGCTGGCCCTTCCAGGCTGTTTACCCTGAGTCAGCGGAGTACTCTGGCAGCAGGCAGCCTGCTGCCCACGGGAAGGGCTGACTTTCGGGAAGGAACACGGTTCTATTTCTCAAGGTTGTTTAACTGAGCCTGCATTCCTCTCTCCCTCTGGTCAGCTGCAGTGATGGGGCGGAGGGAGCAGGCATGGGGGAGATCCCTGGCACATCCACCTGGCTCTGGAATGTACCCTCCTTAAAGGCTTATTGTCTGGGGACTCTGTTCAAGGGAAGCAAGGCTGGTGCTGTTGCTGTCGCTGCCTGTGCACATGTGTGCCCTCTCTGGGAGCTCACTGCTCTCTTACCCTCACCACTGAGATCTGGAGATCCAAGTCACCTTGAGTGGGAAGGGTGTGGGCGAGAGGTGCTGACACAAACTTGGAGCCAGGCCAGGGCAGAGTGTGACCTTGCAAACAGGCCCATGTGCACCTTCAGGTCAGTCCAATCTAGTACATGCTCTTAGCCCCACTGCGCTACCAGCTGCTCTTCCCACCCTCTTCCTTTGGGTCTTCAGTGTCCTCTGAGCTGCAGGGAGTCCTGGTATGTGGGCTTCAGGCTAAGACCTCAGGGCAGACACAGAGGCTGAAAGCATTTTTCTTTTATTCTTTCATTCAACAGGTTCTAAGTGTCAGGTAATTTTCTAGCATTAGGGGTACAGTTCAAAAAGCTAGAGTCTCTGTTGTCTAATGGCCTCAGCTGAGTTCTGGTCAGCCTGCCTCCAAACTGTTTCTCACTTTTCACCCTTACCACCACCTAAGTCAGACCTTCATTACATTATTTCAACAGGTTCTGGGCCCCCTTTGCCCCCCATATGGTTTATCTGCTGTCTTGGTGCCTGGGTGGCCTTCCTAAGATGGCTCCAGTCTACCCCCAGCGCCTGACAGGCCAGTCTCTATGTGGAATTTAAGGCCCTGCTCAGTAGGCTCCAGCCCTACCCCTCATTTTCCCAGGGTGGTTTTCCCTTGCATCCTAATCACCAGCTCTTCTGTCTGTCCCAGGGAACAGGGCAGGAGTTGCAGGCAGGGGGCACTGGGCACAGGGTGGGTGCCAGGTCTGTGTTCAGAGTGAGGCCTGGCTGGAGTCTCAGGAGGGAGGCTGTGTACTGCATATTCCGTTCCTAGAGCCTACTGGATCTTGGTTGGGGGGTGTACTCCTGTGAGCCCCGTTCTGGGCGGGACTCAGGGCTCCCAGTGGACATCTGTGAAGTCTCTTCTTGAAGCCATGTTGTCCATAGATAAAGGAAGGCCTGGCTAAATCTGACCTCCTGAGACCCCTGTACCCTGGAGTCCACACTCCCTACCTCACTCACCTGCATTTGTCTACCCCCACCCAGCATGACTCTGCTTTGCTCTGTCTCCTATAGGCATTGATAGATGTGCTGCTGAAGCCGCCAACATCTGTGGCCCTGGAACCTGCGTGAACCTTCCAGACGGATACAGATGTGTCTGCAGCCCTGGCTACCAGCTGCACCCCAGCCAGAACTACTGCATAGGTTTTAATGTGGGCGTCCTGGGCTTACTTGGTGGCTGGGGCAGATGCAGGCAGGAGCTGGGGAACTGAGTCAAGGGTCCCAGACAGTACAAGATTCAAGTAGTCCTGGGTGGTTGGTAAGTTTAAGAGGAGCATGACTGGGCAGTGCCTGTGGCTCAAAGGAGTAGGGTGCTGGCCCCATATGCCGGAGATGGCGGGTTCAAACCCAGCTCTGGCCAAAAACTGCAAAAAGAAGAAGAAGAAGAAGAAGGAGGAGGAGGAGGAAGAGGAGGAGGAAGAGGAGGAGGAGGAAGAAGAGGAAGAGGAGGAGGAGGAGGAGGAGGAAGAGGAAGAAGAAGACGACTCAGAGAGCCTGTGGCTCAAGCAGCTAAGGCCCAAGCCACATACACCTAAGGGGGCAGGTTCAAATCCAGCCCGGACCCGCCAAACAACAATGACAGCTGCAACCAAAAAATAGCCG